TCCTTCCTCCTCCTATTTTCCCCACAACCACCACCCTGTGACGTGAGTTGGGCTGAGAGAGTTTTTCAGAAGTGGTTTGCCCTTGCCTCCTTCCTAGGGCTGAGAGAGAGTGACTGGCCCAAAGTCACCCAGCTAGTTTTTATGCCTAAGGCAGGACTAGAACTCAGAGTCTCCTGGATTCTAGCCTGGGGCCTTCACCGCTAGACCAAACTGGCTCTTTGCATCCTAGCCTGAGGGCTTCTTGCAACTAGCGAGAGTCCAGAACACCCTGAAATTCTGAGAAAATGTTCTGGAGAGTTCAGGAGACTCCAAGGAGTGGGTTCAGCGGGTACATGAGGATGGGGAACTAATGGGCAACAGAGACATTTCATGAGTTTCTGCCCCACAGTCCTTATTCTATTATGAGGTTTGAATTCCTCTTCAACTATAATACATCTTTAATCAATGCAATACTGGGAGGCATCAGACCAAATACTGCTCCATCCATTGCTCCTGTTTAGGTTTTTGATTGTCGTTACCATCTTTCCTCTGCTGTTTTCTGTGTCATTCTGCCACCCCACTAACGCTCAGACTTCTGTACCCATGAACATGCTTGCTCTTTCTTGCACTGTTGTACTTCTCTAAATATGCATCTGTCTCCTTTCTGTGCAGATTTGGTGCTGTTCTGGCCACATAAAGATAAGTAATCCATTTTCTGAGTGCCTATATTTGATAAAAGGCTTAGGATTGCAATTTTAACCACAAGTCCTCATCTCTAAAATGGGAATTATATTGACTTCCTTCTTAGGGTTGACAAGATAAACAATTACAATATACATTGTATAGAAAACAATCAGATTGTAATTACATATACTGAGAAGTCCTATTGATTTCTTTTAAATTAATGCTGCTTAGGACAGCTGAATAAGAATGCTGCAAACACTAAACCATCATCATTAAACTTGCAGATACCTCTGAAGTGTTATGATATTGAGGCAGCTCTAATATTTCCTTTTAAAACTGGGAAAACATTTTCCTGAAAATTAGAATAAATTTAACCATATTTTAGGTATTTTTATAATCACCTTGCCAGTTGCGTCTTGATTTTCTTAATCTCTAAGTGCCTCTCAAGTCCTAGTGCCTCCTCTAATGCCTCAGGGTATCTCACTGCAAATGGGTTTCTTCTTAAAGTAGTTTGGCAAGCAACTTAGGGGCTACTGGGCATATTTAAAATGTGGTCAACATTCTGTGAACACTTTCACAAAATGGCTTCCGCTGTGAGGGTATCCATTATCCAGAAGGCAAACTGGTGAGGCTAAAACAAAGTAATTGGTCCATAAATCAAGGCTGAGCTGAGTTCCAAAGCAAAACCACTCTTTTAAACTCATAATTATTTTAAATAAAATAAATGTTCCTAGTCTGACTTCAAATGACTGACCAAGGCCTGATTCTTACATAAGTGATAAGCCAGCAAAAGGACTGAATCATTTCAGACTACATATAGAGTATCAGGCACTTGCTTTCTATCCTTTGCAAACACAGGAAACTATATGGCAGGGACAAAGGAATCTGGACTAGCCAGGCTATTTTCTATTAATACGTTAATTTCATAGAGAAGCACAACAAATTGCAGGTAACCCCAATTGTAATCTGAAGCAGTATAGCCAATACAGAAGTTTGCTTTCTCCACAAGAATGACATCAAAGGAGAAATCAAGATACACAAGGATATTATCTTGGCCTAGTTGCCAATGTTTGTAGTCAGAGTAAGGAATGGCTGTTCCGTTTTTGAAACGACGACGGTCTAGAACTAAAGTGCAATTCTCAAGGTCCTACTGAAACAGGCATTCCAATTTAGGTGTGACTTTCTGCAGTGGAGCTATGGCCAACTGGACATCTCCCGTTTATTTGAGCAAGTCATGAGAATGCCTAAACTGGCAGAACAGATCTAAAATTCCTTAAGGCACATGATGGAACAGCAAACCAGAAGTATCAAACAGAATATTCCCATCTTCCTAGACTGGTCCAATCACGATGACAGTTTACTGGAAAGCAAGGCCTGTAGGTATTAAGTTTTCCTCAAGTCTATTGAGTATTTATTAAGAAAATCTCTCTATGAAGAAAAACAATCAAATGTAAAAAAAAAAACTTCAAACGTTGTTTATTAAGACATCCAGTTATGTCTGTCAGTCTACACGCAAGTTCGCTACTAAAAATAAAATGCCTACAATTCACAAAACAAAAAAATCCACACTTTTGAGTGCCAAGCCTAATGTATAAATAAGTGACTCGTCCCTTTTCATATCAAAATTCACATAAAAAATTGCCAGCTCCCACCCCACCCCCAGTTCTACCTAAAAAGCCATGATGAATGTAAAAATTTAAATACACGCACAACCTTATCAAGGAGGAAGGGCAAAGGGAGAAATAGGTGCAGATCCTATTAACAGCCTTAGGATTGGCATTTGCGGCATTTGATCATACAATTTATGTACTCATTCCCAAAGGTGCAAATATTGCCAGGAGATTAATACTGCTTTAATTCAGCTGCAAGAATTTTTTATATATATATATATATGAAACCGAATAGCACTGAGGAGGCTTCAATCCACAGCCTAAAGCTCCTCCCGTCACTCTCCTGCACTCACTGGTGGAGGTGAGAGAGAGTTCACTGGAGCTTTAATTTACTTCATACTGCCTGTGCTATCCAAAATGTCTGTTTTTTTGTTTTAAAAAAGATTAAACATTTAAGTGTTGAAGACTCCAGCATAAAAAGTCAAGATTGCTATAGATTACATGAATGTAAATGCCCTATCTGACATGCCCAAAGCATTACCCCTCAACATACTTGAGCACCACTCTAGCCCAACACAGTCCTCCACACTGGCATTGTTTGAACTCCAGGCCTCTACATGATTTTCGTCAGTGTTCTTGACTGAGCTCCATTCACTCAGAACGATGAGGCCAAGGAGATGTACATACTACTTTTGACCTTCTGTTTTATTTTCCCATTTCAATATGAGCAATACTGACTTTTGTTTCACTAGTCTTTCTCTCTCTCTCTTCACCCTCTTCTTGCATTCCCTCCCTTGAGATTCTCAGCCCCAAATACTCAACTCAGATTCCCAGATTCTGCCCTTTTGTAACACGGAGGCAGATTCTAAAAGCAGTTTCCAGTGGAATGCACTGGCAGCCCTGTAAACCAAGCAGCTCACAGAAATCAGCACGGGTATTATAAATACATTTTGGCCAGCATTCTGAGAATTAAACTTGCTCACAAGAAGAAAAAGGAGAAGACTCCATCTGCTGAGCCCTGGGGTGCTTATTCTTGCACCAGCCTTTGCTAGTTCAATTCTGGATGCCCCCTCTTAATTCTTGTGTTATCTCTTCCTGTTCTTCAGCCAGTCCTTCTGGGGCAGCTGCTATCTGGTTGGCCTCACTAGAAGATGCACCGTCCAGAGTGATGTAGCCTTCCGTGACATCAACAGAGTCCTGCATGGAACCTGGCCCCATGACAGCCTGTCCATTGTCCACAGGCTCACCTCCAGTCTCTTCCTGGTGTTGAATATTGGGGGCGCCAGGAGCTTCTTGCTGAACAGTGCGTTGCTCTGCTCCAAGATTTACTTGTGGCAGCGGCTCCAGTCCTAACCCAGGGGGGTGAGTTGTATTTTTAAGTTGGCAATGGCACAAGGGACAGGTTTCTTGCACGTACAACCATTTCTTGAGGCAGCCCGCATGAAAAAAATGACCGCAGGGTGTGATAATAGCTGATTTCATGTCCTGAAAGAAGAAGCACCAGTATGACATAATAATCAACCACAAATGCAGTCTCCTAAAATTGTCCAACATTCATCATCACACTCAACCACCCAGCTTCAGTTGTCATCTTTTATCTGTCATTATCCACACATTGTTTGAGTTCTTAACCTGGTGCTATCCATCTATATTAGACTTCAACTCCCATTATTCGCAACCACCACTGAGAGTTGAAATTCAGTATATTTGGAAGACACCATGCTGAGACTGGTTACTTTACATTCATCTGCATTAGTAAAATGTAAGACCAACAAAACATGAAGCTTAACATTTCATTCTGGATAAGCGCTGTTTAGATTAAGATGTTTATGTACTAAAAATTGCAGTTTAAGGACTACATTGGCAAAGCTATCTGAATGCTACAATTCTATGCAGAAAGGGCAGAAAATGCAAGTGTGGGTATATCTCATTTGGCTTCTTAAATTCACCCTCAGTCAAAAGCAATTTTTTATTTGGCCAGAATCTATGGTGCCTAAAATGCTTTTCTCTGGAAACACCATCAAACCTGGATTCCCTAAACACTCAAACACAACTAGTGCTATTCACTTGTGACCTGGATTTATTTTTCTTAAAATTCAAGTTAGAAAATGCAACACGTTTTGTTTCTGAAGAACCGAACACCAGAATGTTAATATTTGAAACCAATCCAAAACTGTAAAGGGGAATTTTAAAAAGACAGAACTAAGAGACATCCAGAATGTGTGAGGAATTTAAAGCATACTACAGAAGTGCAACTTCTGTGCTTATTTTAGTTTCATTGCACAGATTGCTTAAATGACACAATCTAATTGAGATAATTGGCCTTTTAATTTCTGGTCAACTTGTTCTCTCAAGATGGCAGGAATAGGCTGGAGTGATTAAATGGATTCTGCAACTGTCACTGCCAAGAGGAGTAGAAACTAATAAGACTGTATAGGAAAAGACGACCCATAAATGAAAGATTTCAACTATAGGAGGCTATAGAAAAAGAAGATGCCAGGGCACACCTATCGGCATCTTATTTTTAGTAAATATCCTATAATTGATTTCAGTTGCTACTGTCAAAGTGGAGCCCTTAATAGTAACTTATTTTTTCATATCATACCACATTGTTACATTTATATCCCACCTTTACATTCTCCCTTTCCCAGGAGCTTAAGACTGCATACACTGCATTTGTTTCTCCAATTTCTCCCTCTACAACCACCCTCCTTGAGCTGAGAGAGACAGAGTGAGTGACTCAAAGCCAGTGTGGGCATCCTTGTCCATAACGCAACTCTAGCCTTTAAATGAATGTGATTATTTAACTACAGTGGTACCTCTACTTACGAACGCCTCTACTTACGAAATTTTTGAGATACGATCAGCTCCGCCCCCCAAAATTTACCTCTACTTACGAATTCGCCTTGACTTATGAGCCATTTTCCGCCCGTTCCACGTGGTCCGCGGCCATTTTTCCACCCATGCCATGTGGTCCGTGGCCATTTTTCCACCCATGCCATGTGGTCCGCGGCCATTTTCCGCCCGTGCCACGTGGTCCGCGGCCATTTTCTGCCCGTGCCACGTGGTCCGTGGCCATTTTTACGCCCATTCCACGTGGTCCGCGGCCGTTTTTCCGGCCCTGACGTGTGGTCCGCGGACGCCGGAATGGATTAACAGTAATTACATTGAACCTTATGGGAAAATTTA